CTAAGCCACATGATGGCCGCTGTGCCACCTTTGGTTTTTATCTCTCTCTATTGCACACTTGAGGAACTTTTAATATTTGTACAATTTAGGGATTGATTGGATTGATGGAAATTTTCTTATGAATCATTTATTTAGAGTATTGCTTCTAAACTTCCCCAGCAAAGTCCTGAATATACTACCCTCTCTTGCTTTAAGGGAGATATCCTTATCTACTTGAAGGTCTTCCTTATGTCTTGGAGGTTGCAACACACATAAAGAAACCAGAAGTCTCTTTATGAGGCTATGAGACATTCTTGAACCATCTGCCCCTGTACTTATGAAGAAACAAGATATTCAAAACAAAGTAAACTCAAAAAGGTCAGCCAGATTCAGTGGGCTAGAGGAGTTGACCACCATTCAGATTGCAAGCTTCTTTCCGCTGTACACTCAGGCAATTATGTGATAAATACAGCAACACAATTAGATTGGCTGAAGTTACCTCTGTCCTACACAGAGACTTTTATTGATGAGCAAAGAATGGAGTGGAAAGATGATAAAAGAATGAAATGTCAGGACCTCCCTTTCTTAGAAAAGTCAGCACACAGAGAGTCAATGTGGTGTCATGTGACCAAGGAACAACAGAATGCCAGGATTAGACATTTTATATCCTTATAAAACTTGTCTATAAGGATAAAAAATATAAACGTTGTATTATGCCAGAATTTAAACAATAATTGCAGCAGCTTTGGCCTGAGGATTTTTCTTGGGCACTCTGACCATTAAGAGTTAATAATACACTGCTTGGGACATGGCAATATGGCCAGGCTGGCATGGAAATTTTGTTTTGGTTAGTGTCCTTCTAGCCACAAAAGCTACTAGCCTGAGAACAGGCTGTCATATGCCTCTAGAGTCTTAAAAATCAGGCTATAGGGTTAATGAGTAAAAATGATAGCTGTTTATTAATGATGTCAAAACTTTAGGGTAAAATCATTAGAAATGATGACTCTGTTCTGTCATAGTTTGTTAATTATGACTAAAAGATGAACAAGAGGAAGTGAAACACATGTCCAAAACAAAAAAATGATATGATCTATGGTTTGGAAAAACATGAATGTATCCCTCTTTACTAAATTCTGTATAAATAAAGAAGCACTCTGGCTGCTAGTCAGTCAGGCTGCAAGATTCTCACCACCAGCATGGCCTGGTTCACCTCTGTCCCCTGCCAACTCCTTATATCCTCTGCTGCAACCTGTTCACCATCAGGGATGGTTCCTGGCACTGTTGTTATATTTTTTCAATTCAGCTTAATCTGGCCTACTACATCAGGGAAGAAATTTCTTATGGGAGGAGGGGCAGAAAACTTATTACCCTGAATTCCCTCAGTGATGGACTGTGATGTGAAAATGCAAGCTGAAATATAACCTTTCTTTCCAAAGTGTCTTTTGCTCATGATGTTTTATCACAGCAATAGAAACCCTGATTTAGTTTCTGTCTCTTGATTTAGAAATGTGTGTTAGCAACTCAATGAAGAAAAACAAAAATCATATAACCAGTACTGTCTCAAAAATATTTTCAGAACTACTCAGAGTGATATAGTGGATATTAGATGATGTGACCATTTTTCTTAGTCCACTGTGACAAGGGGAATATGTGCTTTTGCCTTGAGAAATATTAATTTAACTACTTAACTTATAATGTTAATTAATTAACATTAATTAATGTATAATATATAAATTATACATATATTATATTAACTAATATATTAATTAATCAGATTTAATTAAATTATCATAGAACAGTTTTAGTTAATGACATCCCATTGCTTGAACTAAAAGATGAGAACTTAAAAATTAAAATTAGCTTGATTTGCTATTGTAATTCCTTTAGAATATACTGAAGAAAGAAGTGGAATCTATCAGGATCTTTTTCATGAAAAGTATCCAAAAGACACATGTCACTTCTGGTTTCTGGTGTTGAATGGGCAGAGTGAAGCCATAAGATTCCCAGCTGAAGACCTCTCATCTTATGAGGAATCATTTGTGTTTTCAGAGCAGTTAAGATGTTGTACTTGTGCTTTTCTTTATGGATGTGGCATATTCCACTCATACTAGTTCATGCAGAGATGCCTCTGTGCTAAAATCAGGAACAAGACAAGTTCATTCTTTTCACTTCTTCTCAAAATAATTCTTACAATGTTAGCTAGAGCAATAAAAAAGTGAAAAAGATGAAGCAGATACAAACAGGAAAGGATGAAGTCAATGTATATTTATTTCCAGATAATACAATTCTATACATAAGAACCTAGAGTACACACACACACACACACACACACACACACACACACACACCTCCTAGAGCTGATAAATATTCAGAAAAGTAACAGTTTCCTACAGTGATATTTTATTTGTGCTTTAAATAAAGCTTGCCTGGAGATCAGAGAAAATAACAAGCCATTTTATGTAAACAAAGAAGTTGGGCAACAGTAGCACATGCCCTTAATCCTATCACTTGGCAGGCAGGATCTCTGTTTGTTCAAGGCCACACTGGAAACAGAGTCAGGTGTGATGGCACACACCTAGTCAACCATAAAGGTCTGGAGGTCTGTACAGATAGGAAGTGACAGAGCTAGACAAGAAGAGGAAGTGATGTAGCTGGGCTAAGAGAGCCAATGAGAGAACAGAACATCAAAAGCATGTAAATGTGAGTGTACAGGAAGGAGGCCTCTTTGGAAACTGTGGAGTTGGTGGGGTGAGATTAGCTCATGGTTTGTCCTATTCCTCTGATCTATCTCTCAATCTCTAACCCAAATTTCTGGCTCTGTTTTTTATTTATTAAGATGATTTAAAAATTCATCTGCAGTATTCTTCTATACAAATGACAAACACAGAAAGAAATCAAGAAGACAAGTCCATTCTCAATAGTATAATAAAATGAAACACAACAAAAATCCTGGAAATAGATCTGACCAAAGAAATTAATGATTTCTGCAGTGAAAATGTTAAAACACTGAAAAAATAATTGAAGATACCAGCATATAGGAAGACCTCCCATGCTCATGGATTGACAGGATTAAAGTGAAAACAGCCAGTGAAAATTTTCAAAGCAATTAAAAATCATTTTTTAATTTCATATGGGAATACAAGTGACTGAGGATATCCAGGACAAACCTAAATATTAATAATACATCATCAAAAACCACAGCAAAGAAGCCGTGGGCATCATCATAACAGATCTCAGGCTATGCTGCAGTAAAATAATAAATACAAAAATTGTACTGGCATAAAAACAGGCACTTACCCAAGGAATAGAACTGATGTCTTCATATAAACCCACATTCCTACAGTCACCTAATTTTTGACAAAGAAGGTAGTGATACACGTTGGAGAACATACCGTATCCAATAAATAGTGCAGTTCATACTGAATCACTACATTTAGAAGAATGAAATTTGAACCTTATCTCTCACCCTACACAAAGCCCTCTGGTATCCTTGATCTTATATAGGGGGAAATTAGGAAATAAATGCAAACTCATTGGCACAAGAAAGTAATTTCTGAACATAACGCAAATAGTACAGACATAATAAACAAACAACTAGTACTTGGGACCTCATGAAACTAAGAAGTTTCTGTACAGCAAGAGACACCATTGTTTGAGCAAAGAGGCAGCCAGCAGAATGGGAAAGTGTTTTTGTGAGTTATCATAGAGTTAGTATCTAGAATAAATGAAGAACTTTAAAAAAAAAAAAAAAAACAAGAAAGTAAATGACCCAAATAAAAGTTGGGGTATTGGGGTATAGGACGAAAAGAGTTCTCAAAAGATACAAAGAAAAAATACTTTTTAAAATTTTAACATCATTAGCCAACTAAAAAATAAAAATTAAGTTTAAGATTTAATCTTTCCCTAATTAGGACGGCTAAGAATAAAAAGTCAAATGATGACAAATGCTGATGCAAACATTAGAAAAGGGGAACACTTATTTACTTCTGGTAAGAATGGAAATCCATAAAACCCCTACAAAAATTGGTGTGCAATTTGCTCAAAAAGAAAGAAAGAAACTTACCACATGATTCAACTATACTGTTCTTCCATATATGCCTGAAGGACTCTGTAACCTACTCTACAGACACCAGCTCATCAATGTTCATTTGTGCTTTCCCCTTAATAGACAAAAAAGGGCCAAATGTTCATCAAATGGTGAATCAATGAGGAAAATATGGTATATTTTCAGAACGGAATACTACTCATCTATTAAAAAAAGGAACATTTGAACTTTACAGATAAATGCATAAGGCAGGAAACAAATTACTTTGAGTAAGTCAAGTCAGATGCAGATAGACAAAAGCCACCCATTTTCTCTCCTCTGTGAATGTTAAGACTCTTCACATTGGGTGGTGGTGGCACATATTTTTAATTCCAGCATATGGAATGGAAGAGGCAGACAGATCTCTGAGTTTGAGGCCAGCCTGGTCTACAGAGCAAGTTCCAGGATAGTCAGGGATACACAAAGAAACTCTGTCTTGAAAAACAAACAGACTCCTGAGATATGTGCCTTTAATTTGAAATATCATTAGCGATCAGAAAATTACTAAGGGATAGTAGGGGGGCATGTTCTAGGGAAGAGATATATAATATGCTTGTATATTGGGTTACAGGGGAATAATGAATCAAGAAGGGTTGAGTGAATAGGAAGCTGATAAGATAATGAAATATGGGGAAAGACAAACAACACTAAAGACTATCAAGAATGTCATGAAAACCTACTTGTGTAGAACATTCATATATACTAGGTCTTGAATGATTTTTTTAAAGACACAATTGAGTCCTACTATAGCTGGCCTGCAGGAGCCCCTCTCCCTGCCTAACTCCATTCCCTGGGGACTCCACCTCTTGGTGCACACTCAGGATCCTACCACCTCTTTTATTCCAGTCTGAGTAGACTGCACTTAGTTCTGCTGCAGCCTGTATTCAGTAGCTACTCCTTCCACATAACCTCTGTTCCCTGGGGGTTTTACCTTTGAATTAGCATACAAGTAGACATGTTGATCGATGGACTTGAAGTTAATATCCAGGCATAAATCAGCACACCTGATTTTTCACAAAAAACAAAAACACACAATGGAATAAAAGACAGCACTTTGGCGATATTTTGTGTATGCTCTAACGAATAAAGCTTACCTAAAGATCAGAGGGCAAAGGTAGCCACTAGTTAGCCATACAGGACAGGCAGTAATGGCACACACCTTTAATCCCAGCACTTGGAATCTCATGCCTTTGCTCCCAATAGTTGGAAAGTACACACACACTTAATCCCAGCACTAGGGAGGTAGAGACAGAAAGTGATAGGGCTGGATGGAGAAAGGAATATAAGGCAGGAGGAGACAGGAGCTCAGTCTTTTTGCCTGAGGAGTTGATGAGGTGAGAGGTGTCTGTAGCTTGCTCCTTTGTCTCTCTGATCTTTCAGCATTTGCCACAATATCTGGCTCTAGGTTTTTATTATAAGACCAGTTAGAATTCGTGCTACATTTGTCATGCATCCTGTGGGGCATGAATTCATGAAAAAGCTGTTTGCCTGTGGCATTGCAGCCACCAGCTCAAACCAGAGCTACATACATGGTGCCTACCCTACTGGCTGGATTTTTCTTTTCTACCCCAAGCACTCTTAGGGAGTCTGGTATGTTTTTTCTGTTGTAGCATCTCTGCAACAGACTCCACAGGCTATAAGAATTAGCTGCTTTAACATGTTACCCCATGCAGATGCAGGCTCCTTGGCTTCTTCCCTCTCTCAGTGGGTTGTGGCTTTCACTGGACCCACACTTGGGCTTTTGCCATGCTAGGTAGCTGTCTCACTCACTGTCATGTGAATTGTCATTGTCAGCATATTTAGTGAGTCAATTGGGACTTCTTAAAGGGGGGAATTAGTTAAAAAAAAAATAGAGAGGTTTTTCCCTCATTAAAAAATGGGGAACATTATTACAATGAAGGGAGTTAGGTCTCTGTTTCATAATATGCTAGACAGTTTGAAAATTGAGCAATTAAATGAGAGCATAATTAATGTAGATGGAATCTATGTAATGTCAATTATAAATATTATTTGATCATTTTTGTTTTATCATTTAAAAAGTTGGTTAATATGGGTGCCAAGATAAAACTTTTAGAAAAACTTACTAAAACAGATCATAGAGATATTCAGACCCAGACAGAGGAATTTAAAGAAGAAAAAAATCTCAGTATTACATTATAAGGTTAGAGAAGGAAAGTCTAAAGTTTTCAAACAACCAGCCTTAATTTATCCAGTAACCTTACAGGAATTTCCAAATGATAGATATCCTTAAGGCTGTATAAGAGCTAAATGGATTCCTGTGCAAATGCTAGATTTAAGGAGATTCAAGGAAGTGATAGTCTCATATGGCATGCATTCACCTTTTGTAAAGCAGATGTTAAACTCGTGGTCAACTTGTAATAGAATTATCCCTCAAGACTGGAGAGATTTGGTTATAGCAGTCTTGAAGGCTGGTCCCCAATTACAAGCTGATGAAAAGATGAGACTAAGACCATTGAACAACAAAGTAGGGCTAGAGGTATGAAAATCTCCCAAGACCAACTCCTTGGAGAGGGAGATTATGTTAATGTAGAAAAGCAATCTCTATATGATGACCATACCCTGGCTTTATGCCATGCAACAGCCTTGAATGCTTGGGAAAGAATTGAAGAAGTAAAAAAAAAAAAAATGAGTCATTTATTAAAGTTATACAGGGTACAAAAGAAAACTTCACTGACTTTTTTACAGAGATTGACTTCAACAGTAAATAGAATGATACCAAATTCAGAAGTTAGATAAATAATAATTTTAATCTCTAGCTTTTGAAAATGCTTATGCACAATGCAAATGGGTAATTAGGCAATTAAAGGCAAGATCAGCATCCTTAGAAAAATAGATCTGAAATACAATCAGTATTGAATCTCATAACCATAATGATGCTTGGATAGGAAAGGTGACTTCCAGAGGTTTGAAGAAAAATTGAAATGTTAGGTATTTCAATTGTGGTAAATAAGGTCACCTAAAAGGGACTGTAAACAGGGCACTCCTAGAAACAATGTTTTTTCTAAGAATAATCCAAATAGAACACTACTTCCTCTGGATTATGCATAAAGTGTGGCAGACATTGGACTAATGAATGTAGATCAACAAGGGACAGTCAAGATAACCCTTTGCTATCAGTAAATGCCTTGAGGGGCCTCTTGTAGGCATCCATGTCAAATTTGATTAGGTCATTTCCTGTCAGCTTGGAGGAAACTCCTTCTCAGAGCAATTAAAGAACCTAATGGAATCTCTGAGGTCTCCAAAAAGATGATGGGATCCCACACTGATGATTCCATATGGACTATGGTAATGCCACTAAGCTGACAAATACCATCTAAAGATTAGCTTTGGACTACAAACTGCTCAGGGCAATTTTAAGGTGACTAGCTGAGATGATCCAACCTCACAGACTACTCTAGCCAGGACTTGAGACAAGCCCTGCACTTTACCATTATGAAGAGACTAGACGACAAATGATATATCTACCTCTCCCAGGACTTGACTATTAACCCAAATTTTTTCAGGATCCCCTAAAGATGCCGTTTCCCCCAGAGAGCAAGATGTAAACTTAAGAACATGATAACCACATTCCCAAGAGGTGTGGTGGGTGGTTTTTGGTCTTTCATTGGGTTATGGATATTTGTCATTGTTTAGGGTGGTTGGTTACAAGTTGTTATTGGTAATGGTCAGTAAAAAAGCTAAACAAAGGAGAATAGATCCAGGGTTCTTGTTTGGAAAGAAATGAAAAAGAAAAAAGGGGATGCAGACATAATAGGACAAAAGGGTATATTACTGAATCTACTCTGAAAAAAAAAAAGATACAGATATGATAAAAGTACAGATTATTGAAGCTACTCTGAAAAAAAAAGATATAGAAATGATATGAGAAAAGGGTAAATTATTGAATCTACTTTTAAAAAGCAACTACTACATTTCAATAGTTTACATTGAAATGGATCTTGGTATATTGATACAAAGGTAAGATTATTTTTGTTAGAAAATACTTTACATACATTTCTAGTCTTGATCAAGGTATTGTACCTATACATCTCATTTAACAATCTAATGCAAATTGCTAGTCCTTGAAAGTTATTACCAACTAATTAGGATATAAAGAAATATAAGTTAGTAGTTAGTTATTGCAATCAAACCTGTAGTCATATTAGGTGTGTTTTCAAGGTCAAACAGAGACATATTTTAGATATAAAGGTCATCTTCAAACACTTCAGAGACCTACAGAATATGGCACTTAAGATGGTTTAATAATATAGGTTATTATTATTTTTATGACATGACACTTGTCTGCTCCTGGCAGCACCAATGTACTTCAGAGAAGATGATGGGCCTCAAAGAAACTCCCTATGGAGTTTACTTTCTTTGTGACAAAAGTTAGCCACTGGGCAAGAAAATGCTGTTGCTTTGACTGCTCACAGTTTGCTGTCCAATGGACAAGCAGGACACAAAGAACAGGACTGCTGAACTTTGCCAAAGCAAGAATATCCTGCTTCACAGAAAAGTCTGTCAGATATACTAGGTCTGTAGGCTGGAGATGGATGCTCCAATGTTGAAGAGGAACCTTGGGTGACAGTCCAGATAGCCACTTGTTTCTGTCATTTCTCATATTTTTTGGAAGTTGCTTGCTTGCACTTCCTATTTACTCAGTTAATGTTATTTACTTCCCGGGTCTCTTATGGAGTTGAAGACTAGATAGTTGTAGTTCTCTTTGTTAACAAATTCAGATAAGAAATTCAATAAAGAGGTGTAAAGTATATAAGTTTAAGAGATATCAAAAAATAATTTTTGGTTGGTAGTACAATTTAGGATAGAAAGTGAATTAGGTACAACATTTTGAACTCACCAAAATAGGATAAATAATGGAGCATTTTCTCTGAATTTGTCAAATGTGGACTAGACATTGTTGATGTAATTTTTTGTACATATTGCATATAGTAATTGTACTTATTGTATATCATTTTTCTTAGTTATAACTTTTATTTTAGATAAAAAGTGGAAATATGATATTTTGCATATGACCTAAAAAATAAAGCTTGCCTAAAGATCAGAGGGCAAAGCCAGCCCCTTGTTAGCCATAGAAGACAGACAGTGATGGCACACAACTTTAATCCCAGTACTAGGAAGGTTGAGATAGGAAGTGATATGGCTGGGTGGAGAAAGGAATATAAGGTAGGAGGAGATAGGAGCTCAGTCTTTTTGGCTGAGGAGTTGGTGAGGTGAGAGCTGACTGCAGTTTGTTCATTTGTCTCTCTGATCTTTCAGCATTTGTTCCAATATCTGGCTCTGGGTTTTTATTATAAGACCAATTATAATTTGTACTACACAGCATCTTCAACAAATGATAGTAGGCCAACCAGAGAGAATCATTTCCATCATTCCACCCAAAACTAAACTCAAAAATTCAGCATAAAAACAGATACCTTTAATCTCATAGAAGTAGTATAGGTATTACACACCATTACAGGACAAAGGTAATCCTCAACAGCATCCAGCTATGAACTCCACAATCTAGAACAGTGACTTGCCTGGAAGAGAACTGGTGAAATAGCACATGTGATGGGATTAACCAACCACTTTTTGATTGATTTAATGCTAACTCCAGGAAATGGTACCCATAAATTATACTGATACAGTAGCCAGAATCTGAGACTAGATAACACATAGACCTTGAGGAAAACTGACTACAAATATTCTGTTACAGGAACATTAAATGACTCCTAATGGCATATTGCTATACCTTACATCAACACATCATTCCAATCATCATCAGAGAAGCTTCTTCTTGCATTATATTGTAAAATTAAAAAAAAAGGAGAGAGAGAGAGAGATACCCAACTGGGAAATGTGCAGAAAGTGAGACACTTTGGAGCACTTAGTCTTAAATGGATGTCTTCATCAAACTGCTTCCCCCTTCATAGCTCAGGGACTTATGGAGAAGAGGAGACAGAAAGAATGTAAGAGTGAGAGGTAATAGATGACTCAGAAACAG